TGTGAACGTGGAAGGGATGTGATTGGCGGTTACGCCCACAGTGTGACTCTAAGGACAAGGAACTAATCCAATCACTGATGGTCGCAGATGTGATCAACATTGTCATCTCGGGATTGCATAAACCCTGCTTAGTTATACCCGCCTCATAAACAATTAAAGTATAAATGTTAATAGTAATTTGTCAATTATTTTGTCAATTAATTAATTCAATTAATTGATTCATGTTTTTTATGATGTTTTGATAGAAACTCAATCTAATAATATTATTTTTACAATGAACTTTAATCGTGCATTTACTTATGATATACCGTATATTTTCCGAATGATTTAGAAGTTTTCTGTGTGATTTTTATAATTTTTACTATCAAACACTTTACTACTGTTGTTGTTTAAGATTACGTTTGTACCTCTAATAGTATTTAATTTACCACTTTCAATGAGTGGCTTGGATATGATAAGGTAGATTATATTATTGTTGTATTAGAAGTACAATATATAGCAAGACAATGCCAATTCCACGAGGTCTTAAATTAGTAATTAAATTGTACCAAAGAGTAAATTACATAACATATAGCTGTTTTTAGAAACATTAAAATACTTTTAATGAGATGTTGAGATTTATAACAACACATGAACACAAACATTTTACCTTTATGATGATCCGACTGAAGGAATCGAGTTAGAGGATTAAATCATTAACCTAATTCAGAACAATGAAGTCAGAGAAGCACTTTGTTTAGTTGAATATGCCTTGAAGCTTTTTAAACATATTACTGTATTATGAAGCTCAAACCACAGTAACCGCAAGTTAAAACTATAAAGGAAATTACAACATAATTGCCAAATATAAATAAATTAGAGCATAAACTTTCTGTCGGATTGCACACCTAATAAAGTATTTCTTGGCTACTTTTGTGTCAGCAATGATATATTATATGATAAGTTAGCTAAGATAGCAAATAATTGCACGTGTTAGAAACCAAATTGTCATTAATAATCATTATTTATAAATGGAATGTAAAAATGGGTTGCATATTAGCCTGTATCGATTGATTATTAATAAATAGGTAAATATTAGATTTTCGAGTGCGTAAAAACGAATTGCAGACATAACTTGATTAAAAATAGATTCACCAGAATTGCGATTAGGAGTTCCAAGAATCGTACTAATTACTATCGATGATTCGATCGATTTATAATTCTAAGTATTGCTGCTGGTTTCTATAAATAACATTTGTATAAACAAGTGAATTCCTTGATGAAGATTTTCTGGTGAAAATCCCATTCGCAACCCAAATTAAAAATAAACATCGTCTTCGAGTAAAGTACTGCTGGGCCTTGGGGACCCGGCCGTAGTTCACAAAAGAGCTTTAAATTATGTTGGAGATTTTTTACCTGATTTCTCAATTTCCAAGTACAGAGAAAGACACTATCTAATAATTGCATTACATATTCCATTAATATAACATTTTTATTTTTCTTGCATTACATGTTTTATGCGCCCGTGTTTACTACCTTAAGGGGAATGAATATAAAAGATGCGTGCGAGTATTGGCTGTGTAATTTGTAATACAAAATTACATGAGGTCAAATCCATTGTCAAGCCTGTACCCACTTCCAGCCGATTCTAGTTATACCAAAATATATGTCAATCGATAACAGTGAGTGTAATTTAAGTTACAAATAATATGTTCGAACTACTGTATTTTCTTTGTATTGATGAGCAACAACAATAATTCCCCAAATGCATTATTCATAGCTGCTGAGGCGGCCACCCACTCAGACATACGAGAAAATTTCATGTTTAACACATTCTTGCCAGTACAGTAGTTAACTAATGCCGATTGTTGGGGATTGGACATGGCCGCTGGTCACTGATAGCAGGAACACTCTTCCGTCCAGATATGTGCTATCAATGCCTACCGAGACCTTGTATGTAACTAGAGGTGTGTTTTTCAACCACTTTGATAAGAAACATAGCAGTACAACTTCCGTGTAAGATATATGAAAAGTTATTGAAATGTCACATAAGACATGTTACATCGTGTGTTTTTATCCTTTATTTTTAAATAATACTCGTATTTGTGAGGGTTACTCAAATTAAGTTATTTCTTAAAATTACGTCTCGTTGGTTAATTGAATTTACTGTGATTGTATATTTCGTCAACGAATCATGTTAGGGTCGTCCTTCGTCATACTACTAATTGTTTACGTTGAATTTACACGAGTGCTTCAACCAACAGTAATAAGTTACCTTTTTTCTATAATCTATATTGATTTTTAGTGTTTTATAATTTGAGTTTGTGTTTTAGATTAATTTTGAACTAAAATAATGTATTACCAACGATATATGGAAAATCACCTGCACATTGAGAAATATATTTTTTTATAAAGTTGTTTCTTCCCTAAATCTAAAAATTTAGAGGGAGAGTGTTAATCAATGATTTTAACCTCCTGTTGAGTGCCAGTTAGTTAATTAGGCACTAAAATAACTTAGTATTAAACCTGTTTCTAATGTTTTTTTTTTATAAATTTATACAAGAATGTTTATTTATCAATAATAGGCTTCACATTTGAAACTTGCCTTTATATGTACATCCACATAAAAAAAATCCGGAGGATGTTATACAAGTGATGATACTTTTCTAGTGAAATTCTAAGTGACGATTTTTCTTAGCACAAATTATTGAGTTAAAAATTACAGTTAAAAAGGACATAACCCGAAAGTGTATAAAAATACCATTTGGCCCTAACTTTGCCTGAATGATAAAATAATTTTTTCATTTTATTTTATATTCATTTTTATTTCAACATGGGAATTGAAATACAGTAATGGCAGGCCCTGGTGCAAATGTTTATTATTTCTAGGTTCAGACAATTACGAACTCAGGGAGTCTGTCAATTTCAAGAAACACGCTGATTTATTTCTAATTGACTACTTTAAATTATAAGTTTACTTACTACTAGTAGTACTTTAAGAATAATACTTCCAACTAATTTTAAGGTTTTAGGTTTTGGAGTATTATTAGTCACTAAAATACAAAATACGGTTTTCCAATTTCATTTTGGAATAATATGCATCATAGTAGAGATTATCTGTCGTTTATAATCTAATAAATGTTTAAATAATACAATGCTCTTTTAGGGTTGATTTCATGACAAATAACCTCCGTTTTATAAAAACACTTATGATTTTCATACAGTTGTCCCTTCCTTAAACCTCAAAATTATATACCTGTTGGGTGAGAAGTATCCCTGTAGGGGTTGAAGAGGCTATTAATACAGTCTTACGTTGTACAGAATGTTCATTTTAGAGGTCTCATTTTATAATCATATGAATATTGAAGCATTAGAAGCATTGATAAAACTATTATTATGATTTTTGAAAGTTGTTCTGAAAAGCAGTTGTACTGAGAAACGCTTGATAAATAAAGGCATTTTATTTATTTATTTCTTCCTATTTATAAATGTTTGTTTCGGTTGAAGAAGTTTGTAAGCCTTCAACCTTGGTAGACCTACATAAGTTTTTAAAGGTCTTTATAGGCTTTATATAATTAAAGATAAGTTCATTATGTCATAGTTAAAGGTGTAAAAACAAGGGCCTAAGGTAAAAGGTTGCAGATGGCTTCAACTTTTATTTTATTTCTAAAAAACAACTTATAGTTAATCCCTCACCAAATTGCAGTCCAATGATTCTTTGTCGGATTTTGAAAATTTGTGTTAATGGGTTCGTATTAATGTGTTCTCAAAATCATTAGCATTGTATGCGATATTACTATGTGGTGGAAGAAACTGAATATCATCAATGTATACTACAAGAAGTGCAAAACAAATCAAGAATAAGAATTAAGAATTATTTCCTTATTGATTGAAACTAAAAACCATTAAGTCAGCGAGTATTATTTGTCAATTGAAATTATACCAACAGATGATTATCTAAATAAAATCTGTAACACGTTTACAAAACAAACTATTTTGGAACGAACTGCGAATTTCAGCAATAAGCTCATTTTTATTTAAGTCAAATACAGATGTCACTAAATAAGTTAACTAACCGTTTTAACTTACTAAAATATATAACCGACTAGTAAAATATATGGATGATTAAGTTTAAAAAACCTTAAAACTCATTTTGAAATTTGTAAAAAATTTATGTATTTTTAGGCCTAGTGAGTGATGGTAAATAGATTTAGCTATTAAGTTGGCTACGGAATTTGTTTCGTATCCATAAATATTTGTTTTAGTTTTTTAGCCTGGTAACGACGATTTAAAGACATGTAGGGAAAAGTATTTATGAAAATGTCACTGTGAGTCATGTAAATAAAAAGAAAAGAAGTTCTTAACATCTAATTCCGATGAGAAATCTGAAGATTTAGTTACTAGTATTTGGGGCATCAAACAGGTAAGTGCACGATAAAAGTCAGTATATAACCAAATATGTATGCGCTTAAAACTGTGGATCCAATCGCTAGTTCAAAATTATAACATACTAATTGAACGTATAATAAAAGTTCAATTTGAACTATGGAAACATTCAAGCTGCTGCTGAATCAGGGACAGTAAGGATAAACTGTAAGTAAAATGAATAAAGATGTATGGTAGCAATATGTAAGCAAGCAACATTGCACTAATATGTTTAAACGTCTTTTTAAACTCAATGTATTTTTAAACTCCGTTTTGAATTCAAGCTTGTTAAAATAATGCTACTGCGCTTTTGTAACTAACTGTACCTTTTTATCATACCGTACAGCTGTTTTCTCAGGTGAATCATGTCTTCCATTAGAAACCGTTTCATAATTATTATTGTAATGGTGCATATTTTTTTAGTCAAAATAATCATTGAACTAATGTAACTAATGCATGATATAATTTCAAACCATAGGCTATATGTTTAATTCCATTAAGTTCTTTATAATTATAAGCCTTTTATATGGCAATAAACTACTATAGCAAAAACACGAATCAGAATAAAACCCATAGTAAATCAACCAAGCACTTACCAAATTATTGAATATCTGCTACGATTATTTCAAAGCCATCCAATGACAACAAGATGAAAAAGGACGATATATATTTCCAAAAATAACCACAAAAGTGATGCCAACTTAAAGTATTAGGAACAGTATAATCACTTAGCACCACAGTACAGTTCAGCACCAGCACCTCAGCACTATCAGTATCACCCACACACAGACACATACACACGTGTTATTGTGTTGTAGAGAGACGCACACACGTCCCTGGACCTCGCGGGTTCGCGCGACGCGCTAGACTGCTGCCACCATCGCCACCTCCACCTCCATCTCCACCGCCGCCGCCGCGCGCCGCCCCCGGGCCTGCGTGGTCAAGGAGAACCGCACGCCGCACGCCGCTCGCCGCACGCCGCTCGCGGAAGGAAGTTCGACATGTCATTAGGTTATAATGGTCGGGGCTTTGACCCACTCCCTACCGCAACAGATGGCACCTCACTCATCTTTCTGCCTCTAAACCGCTTGTTTACACTTTCCGTTGCGGTCCGAGTGCTTCGCCTGTTGCACAGTTAAAATGTTGTGACACTCGTTTGTCTAAATGTCACGACATTCTCTCGACGTATAGTTAGTCGGTTGTCGCTCCGTACACGCCGCACGCAAGACGCGCCGGGACTGGATGTTTTGCATTTCTGAAGAATTTAAATTATTCGATGGAATCTTAATTGCTTTGCAGTTACTAGCGGGGTTTAAATTAAAATTGTGGTTCAATGAACGATGTATCATATAACATTTGTAGGGCGTCCATTAGCTTTATAAAGTGTAGCTGTATAAATTAGTTTCAAATTATTAACAACAATTGCGTATGTGCTATAATTATTACCATTGAAATAAATATACAGGATCAACGTTAATCTTTGAGTTTAGGGGTCCCGGTCACTGGCCGTAAATTCAGGGTCCATATTTATATAATCTGACCTAACTTAACCTAAGTTCTATATGCGGATTAGGGCCAGTTGGCCAGAGGTGGCCGGTTTTCCGTTTCCCTTAATCTTTAGTATTCTTATTTTTATGTCAAATTAGTAGATGAAAGTTTTCCGATATTTGGTGAGTGAAAGTCTACGGTAACCCGGGTGTACATACCCCTTTAATGACAGGCAGAACCGTCCGAATAATAATACCTTGTTGTTATCCCTGTAGCTACAACGTAATATGAATAATTACTCACATTATTTTATTACTGGTTTATAATGATTCTATTAGTATGCATTGCATTTGTTGTTATGTAACATCTTTGTCATGTGAGTGGCATCTGCAGATATGTACTTTTGTGATGATCGCTGGTGTTGATCAAAAACCACATGGCGTATATGAGCCGATTACACTCATAATAATTAATTGTAAACGTAGGTCTATATAAGAACCAAGCAATTTATGGATTCAATCACTCCTATTTACAAAATAACACCCAAGTATTGTTGACAGTGTGTGTTCTAATGAGTTCTACCACCATGGTTTATAGCCAGAATCTATCCACAAATAAACAGTTTGTTTTTGTAACACACAGGGCAGCAGCTGCAAGTTATGGTGTCATGTTTATGGCAGTCAGTGATGGTCCAACCACATGTTGCTGCTGCTACATATGAGGTCCTACTGTAAAAATGCTTCACAATACTCATAAAAAACCAGCCAATTATTTAATTGCGTTACCTAACTCACTTTTCTGCTTCATCTGGTTTTTCCCACACAGTTGCAACGTCAACATAGCAGCTAAGATAGAATAGTGTGGATCTGTAAAGTAACTGTAAAGTAACGGTCAGTGAGCTTTGTGTTTTGGTATAGTGTTCATTCGACTGGAAACAATGGGTACTTTGTGCCATAACAAAAAGAAAAACAAGCAATTATTTACAGTACAGCAATTCCAATTATTATTTAACAACCATTAATTGACAGCACGTTCATATTTGAAAAGCAGTGTAGCTGAACTAGGATGTTAATATTATAGCTTCAAGATGAACAAATCAAAAACACTATTAATCACACTAGCTACAGATGCATTCATGCTATCATCTTGATTCATGGCACATCAAGAGCTGTAGCTTAAAGCAGTTTTGAAGTCCCCGATGTTTGAAATTCAACGTCGTGTAGTAGTTAAGTCATAAGTCATAAGTCATAAGTATTTTATTGCATAAAACATTCTTCATTACAAAGGCAATGGTGAATATGAAACTAAAAGTAATAAGTTACAACAAAATACAACAAGAACAGCACAATTGAGAGAAAGTTACCAATTCAAACAAGTTAGAAAAAAGACAAATTCAAATGAAGATCTTGAAGCAATATCAGAGAAAAAACAATTAAAAACATTCTGTGTCATATTTTACATAAACTAATGGTCAATTAATGTCACGGTCATTTAGGAAATCTGCCAGGAAGTAATATGATTTCTCCACCAATAATGATTTAGTCCAAATTTTAAATTTTTGTGGTGTATAGGATTTTATTTTTGAGGGGATCTTATTACATAAACAAATCCCCATATAGATGGGGTTTTTTTCAAAATGAGAGTGTTTATGAATTGGATAATTTAGCAGATTTGGGTTTCGGGTATTATCACTATGAGTGGGTCTAAATTCATCAAAAAGTGTATTATTTAAATGAACAAAATTTACTGTTTCATAGATGTATAAAGAAGTCAATGGCATTATTTTTAATTCCTTAAAAGAACGACGACAGCTTGATCCATATTCTGCCCCTATCATCACTCTAATAATACTTTTTTGGACTTTAAAAACTTTGCTAATATCCCCTGAGTTTCCCCACAGAACAATTCCATAACGAAGCAGAGAGTGTATATAAGCATAATAAATAATTTTTAATGTTGCTAGTGACACTGAATTTTGAATACATTTAATTGCAAACCTAAAAGAAGTCAACTTACTAACCAAATATTGAATGTGTGATTTCCAATTGAAACTTTGATCTATATTAATTCCAAGAAATTTATATTTATCTGTGATATTAAAATCCGTTCCATTGAGTTTGTAGTTATTGTTAATTCTGATGTGGAATTGCATAATGTTAGATTTAGATTCATTTAGTAAAAGTCCATTTGATTCAAACCATTTCTTCAGATCTTTCAGTGTTAATTTCAAAGTGTTTTCTAATGCAGACAGGTTTTTTTCCTGAACTATTACCACTGTATCATCAGCAAATAGTACGAACCTTTTGGAAATATGTGCTGGTAGGTCGTTTATATATATAAGAAAGAGTGTGGGTCCTAAAATGGATCCTTGAGGGACGCCAAATTTTACTGTAGCCCAGTCTGAGTAAAAACGGGTTGAACTATCACTGATAACTGTTCTCTGCTTTCTCCCCAAAAGATATGATGTTAATAGCTTAAGAGCCGACTCCTCAATACCAATACTGGCCATTTTTTTAATCAGCATCCCATGATCCACACAGTCAAAAGCCCTGGACAGGTCACAGAAAATTCCCGCAGTAAACTGTGACCCATCGAAGGCCCTTGCTGCATCACTCACAAAGTTTATCAAAGCTAATTCAGTACTTCTATTTTTCCTAAACCCAAACTGTTCAGCCCCAAGCAGATTCTTACTTTCAAGAAAATAAACAATTCTATTATGAAGAGCTTTTTCAAAAATCTTTGATATATTACTAAGTAAAGATATAGGTCGGAAATTTTGAATGTCATTTTTTATTCCTTTTTTAAAAATTGGTTTTATCTCTGACAGCTTCAGCTTAGTCGGAAAGGTACAAGTTCTAATAGCTAGATTAAAAATATAAGTTAAGATAGGGCTTATCACTTTAACAGACAATTTTAATAAATGAACTGGAATGTCATCCCATCCACAAGATTTTGTGTTATTTAGACCTAACATAATTTTAGCTACCTCTTCCACTGACACAGGTGAAAATTCACTTAAATATTTTGTCTTACATGAAGGGCTGTCTTTGACAAAAGATAAATCAGCTTTAGGAACTTTTAATAAGTCAACAGTGTTAATAAAATGATTGTTAAAACTTTGAGTGATTTTTTGAGGATTTGAAGTTATCTTATTGTTTATTTTTAAGGTAATAGGTTCACTAATTTTATTACAATGAGTACCCATTTCTCTTTTAACAACAGCCCATGTAGCTCTTGATTTGTTTTTGGACTCAAAAATGTAATTATCATTAGATGCTATTTTTGCTGCTTTTACAACTGACTTAAACACTTTTTTATAATTTTTTACATATTGCTGAAATTCTATACTTAGGTTATACTTTGCTCGCCAGTGTAATTGCCTCTTCTTTGCTGCTGATATCTTAATACCCTGTGTAATCCATTTTTTTGATTTCTTATTTTTAACCTTAATATTTTTAATAGGGAAAAACTCATTCATACAAAAGATAAAATTTTCCAAGAAAAAATTGTAGCAATCATCCAGTGAAATAAGGGGAGGCATATCTGACAACATAAGCTTAAGTCTATTTACAAATAAAATGTTGTTCTCTTCAGGGTACATTCTAATTTTTATTCTTTTGGTGCAGACCTGTCTATTCAGTTTGTTGGGTAGAGACAACAGCAGAGCATTATGATCAGAAAAAGAGGTATTGATGTTACACAATTGGCCTTTCCCAAAATTTATACTAGTCAGAATATTATCAATGCAAGAAACAGTGGTATTAGTTATTCTGGTTGGATCTCTGTTATTGATTACAAAGCCAAATTCATTTACAACTGTTTGAAAGTATTCAGAGCTTGGACTGGCTCTCTCTATGCAGCTCTTGTAGTGTTGTGTCACTATTAAGCATCTCTACCAACAAACTTGCAGCTGGTGGAGTAGTGGTAGTGGTTAATGTAGTTGAGGATGACATGGGGGTTGAGGTGGCTGTGCTTAGCAAGGCTTTGGCTGGTGGAGGTGAGGCTGAGGTATTTATATTTTGCATGCTGGATGAAGTTGTCAAAGTCATACTTGTTTGCTTTTCATATTCTTTAGCTATTGCAGCTCTCAAATCCTGTAGAAAACTACTGTAAGAAAGTCCATTAAAAAGAGTTCTTCGTGATTGTTGATAGTAGGCAACTATTGTGACAAAAGCTTTAGTTTTCTTCTGAAATTTAACTATATTTAAAGCAAAGAGATCTAGGGATATTTTGTCTCTCACACAGCCCATGGGGGAACATATCAGTCTTTTTAGTGATCTCTTGCTAAAATCCTCTGCAAGTTCTTCAAATGCAGCATTGTATTCTGCCTTTGTAGGTTTACAATTATAAAAAGG